GATACCAATTAAGTTTTTAGAATTCTTTTGAAGAATTCAATGCCTTTTAAGACTTTTTAAGGACCCGCGGGAACCTTGTCCATTCACACTCGACATGGATTGTTTCAGAGGGGTAGTGTAAATAGGGTAATAGAAGGGCTCGATTAAGCACTTTTGGTTCTTTTGTTTCTGGTAGATAAATTTAAAGGGGCTGGAGCTAAATTAGCTTTAGCGCCTGTTAGGCTGTAGAGTATGTTTTATAACCAAGATTTGTTGTCAGTTTGACAAATCTTTAATGAATTCTATTACTAAATTGGGATATTTCACTTAATTTTAAGGTTGTTTGCAAATATGCCAAAACAGTCACAGATTAACTGTAAATGCTGTATAAAAATCTTTTCCTCACCAGTTTGCCGTTTCCTGAGGGTGACATAAGGCAGGAGGTCATGGCGGGTGATTATCCTTAGAAGCTGGAGAACATGTCGGAAGTTCGTCTCGTCACATCGGCCCTGGCGTTCCAATGCCAGCAGGAAATCTCTTCCACTCCTGATGCCACCACGCTCGTACTCGTCAATCACGTCAACAAACAGGAACGACAGCACCCTGACATCCCGGTGTGTTAGCTGGGCTCCAACTATGTCAAACATGCGATGAAGGGAGTACAGACCATGGGAGCTGTCTATCACTTCCTCAGGCCAGGGTTCAAAACCCCGGTCTTCTCTGGATGAACTCGAGTTTGTGGAGCGAGTTGAATTGTCTCTGTTAGCCATCTCTTCGCTGGCAGTCGCCCCACTGCGGCAGCCTCGTCTGCTCGTCAAAGCTCTGTGTTCCAGAGGGCTGCCATTCCCCCGCCTCTGACCGGAGTCCACTCGGTTAGACTGCAGTTGGGATTGAGCAGAGGAGTTTGGTACAAGATGAGCAGGAATACCGGCATTTGGGATTGGTTGTTGTTGTGATGTCATCTCCAAGGTTGATAGTGACAAGGGGTGTTAGGATCCCACCAACTTCCTCTATCTTTCTTTTCCCCAAAGGGATTAGCTGTTTACAGAGTAAAAGATAACATAGAGAAAGAGTTAATAAGCAACTAATAAGTATAGATACAATCAAAATACTGTGAGGCTGCAACAGCGACAACGACTGCAGTCCACAGATGGAAAATAATAGTCATACTAGAAAAGAAGAACAAGAAGAAGCTAAAGCAACAGCTTTTAATATGATGTACACTGTACTTATTCTGTTGGTCTTGCATCATCCCATTGTGTGGTTTGGCCTTAAACAGAAGAGGTTTAAGCTGCAACAAACAACTGATGTGAGGCCACCTCTCAATCAGTCCTGGAGGTTCGTCAGCAATTGATTAAGATTTAAGATTTTTCTCAAAGTAAAACGGCCCAGTGACACAGCAGCATTGTGAAAGCATGGGGGATTTTGTAAAGAAGGACCGCTAATAAAGGTCTTAAGGATGAAGTGCAAAAAATGCATTTCCGACACAAGTATTTGCAGGGTGGAGCACAGTAAATTATATCTCGCAAGACTAAGAGGATTCTTGTGAAAGGTAAAAGTTCGAAAGGCCCGCTGTGGGTGGCTGAACATGAGAGTAATCACCAAGAACCACAGCTTGTCCATTTGTACCAAGATAAAAAAAAAAAGTTTTGTTTTCCTTCCTGTCATAATTACATTGTTTACTTATGTGTAGTTTGTAAAAAGCTTGCCTTCCTTAGTTACTTATAACAGGGTTTATACATGAATGAGTAACTCTTATTTAATGCTTTTTAATGCTCTTAGAAATAATCTTAATGCCATCAGCAAATACCCATGACTTTATATATATATATATATATATATATATATATATATATATATATATATATATATATATAGGGCAAAATCCTTCACCATTTTCACCGTGGACAGGCTTCAACCATGTCCAGTTCCTTGTTTTCCCGCCACTTTGGTTCAAATTTGCATTTTTTTCCCCATTCTCTAGCCTTTTCTCCACCTCAAGCTTCTTTTCCGAAGCATTTTAATGCCACGATTATCAAATGTATTGAATTTTAATGCCAATTAAGGCCTTAATTTAAAAAATAATAATTTAATGACTTTTAATGATTTTTTATTACCTGCAGAAACCCTGTAAGCCCATGTGGCAATACATTGCATCCAAGGTGCTGTTTCTTGGGCTGCAAATATTCATATAGAACCTTATTATACTTCTACTATTCACTAGTAGAAAGCATTGGCATCAGCGTCACATTTTCCACTGCTGCTCTAAAATAACTAGACTGACTTAATTACCTATTTTCTTTGCCTTATGTTTTAGAATAGAATAGAAAATCCCTTTTTTTCCCACAAAGGGGAAATTCTGGTGTTTAGAGCAGCATAAAGACTATAGAAAAAAAATTGTCACACAAATGTGGACCTTAGAAAGATTTTTAAGAATAACGTAATAGTGAAGAGTTAAAAAATAAACAATAAAATACTGTACTGTAAAGTGTTTTAACAATATAAAAAAAACTGCAACTGGAGAATAAATAATATACAGCTATGGAAATTTAGTTTGCTGATAAGGGAAAATGCCTGTTTAAATACCTCAGCTAACGTCCTTTGTCACTATATCAAGCTAAATCTATCATGCTGGTTGCATTTCTAAGTAGGCAGACCAATCCTGCTGCTGGTGTAATGTCAATGTCAGGTTCAGGAGAATATATGTCATATCTGTAGACCCCACACATCCTGGATGAAAGGCATCTTGCAAA